TATCTGATAATGTTAGGAGAAATTCTGTCTAAGTCATTAGTGGGACTTTAAGGGTTAATGAGAATTTATTTTAAACATTACTGCAAGGATTCACCAGAGACCAGAGAACTGTTTCTTCAAGATCTTTCTTGTAGGGACTAAAATACTGAGGATCTTGCAGTATTGTGAATATTATTATGTATCAATTGTTTTATCTCCTGTGCAACTTGTTGTGGTTCAATTAAGATGTTGTTAATTGAGGGCTCATTGTTTTATGTTTTAAGCACAGCAAGGAATTTTTGCAGAAAATTGATTTATGCTAAGTGTGTAAAAGCTCTTAAATTTATGGAAAACAAAGGTGCAGAGCTGAGTGTACACATTTCCATACTTCTGAGGTTGATTCTTGCATAAATTTTGGACTTATGTATTCCAGGTAGACTTAATGTACATCATAGGGAGGTCTGCTAAAACTGAAATCTGTGCAAGTTGCTCAGACATACTAGAGTCTTTGGAATTCAATAAAACACATCTTTATGAAACCCAGATTTATATAAATATTAGTTCACAGCAAATGATGGAAAATTGGAAAAGAAAAAATTTCTAAAGAGAAAGTGTTACACTGGTCTATTGGACTGCATAAAGTGAATGACAAGATTTCGAGAGTGACTATTGTTTGGTAAAAATTTGTACATCTAGTTCATATGCTATTACACTTGCAGCATGAAATTTATGCAAAAAAATTGGAAGAAATATTTGGATATTTTTTCCAACCTTGATTTTATTTTATTGGAGAAGTTGTTTATAAACATAGCTATTATAGTTTGTTGTGCAAGCCAGGAATTATGTCTCTCACTTTATACAAACAACATTTGTGTCAAGTCATTATTAGCACAACAGATTTATAAGGTGGCAGCATTCATAATATTGCAACAGTTCTCAGGAAAAGAGCAATCCCTTTTTGCTGTGGGAAATGTCTTAACTACAATAAGTTATAGCTTCTGACAAGCAACTACCAGTATCAGCCTCCATTTCCAAAACAAAGTCAGATGCAGTTTACTAGGAACACAAACTTGAAACCTAAATGAACAGTGATAATTTGGTTACTTACAAGTATTTGGTATACCTATAATTCCAGGATTTATCTGAAGTAATCACCAGGCTGGATGCCATAGAAAGCAAGCTTGATCTATTAATTAAACAGAGTAAGGGTAAAAAATACCCTGAAGCTGCTACAGATTCCCCTACTCCAATTTCCAAAAAGGAGGTAATCCTTAACTGAATAGAAGAGGCAAACTTCAGACAAATATAAAATGCATTAGTCTAATATCCAATTATTGAACATTTGTCCAGGAAGCTTAAGCCAGCAAGGTTAAATTTGTGTTCCCCTTTTGAGAAAGAAATTACAAGATTAAGCAGATATTGGACCTGTATCAAGAGAGCACTCTTAATTAGATGAACAGTTCTATTCGAGTCTATACATCTGTGTTAACCAAATGCTCAACAAGCATATACCTGACACAAGAATAGTTAAGGGTATAGCCATACAAAATGTTTTTTCTTGTACTTCTAAGCAGTAGTAATTCCTTTGCAGAGTGTTGAGTCCATTGGGGTGGAGAGTGATGAGGAAGATTCCGACTTGGTAATTTTTATTGTTTGATATTTTGTTTTGTGAGTTGATAGCCAATAAATTTTGTCTCTTCTTTTACCCAATACTGCCTACAATTAAAGACAATCTTTTGGTTGTACCTCCCCAATCCAGGTCTATAATGGAGTTCAGCTTCTATCTCTTAAGGCACCCCCAAAGGAGCCAACACGGTATGCTACCAGGTTGGCTGGGGTAGTGTTTACGAAGGAGGAAATGTTGGCTGGTATGGTTCCCCCTTTGAATGACAAATATGAGAGGACACCACTTGATCCCGGAAAGATTTCAATTATTCAGCGTAAGTGTTGTCAATTAATTATCAGCAAAATGGACATGAATTAGTAGTTGTGTTGAGATGAGGTTGCAGTTTTGGTGGAAGTGAGTTTGAAAGTCTGTTACAAGTCCACAGATAGTACAATGTACTCATGAAGATAATGAAAAGAATTGTATGATGAATGCCATGACCCACAAGTTCTTTAATTTTTT